AATGAAATAGAAGTTGGAGTGACTTGATGATGGGTGACTGGGTGGCATAGAAAGTCATTGCCAAGGTATGTGGGGGACCCAAACCCTTTACCCTAGCAAAGGTCATTTTAGCATGGCTGTTTCCCCCCCCCACACCCACACCATTCCTTGTGAATCTATGACAATCATCCACCTAACCCACCATTGCAATTATTCCTAACATAGATAGGATCATTCCATACAGACCCTTATGGTCCTTGCCCTACCTTCCTTGCTGTCCAACAGATAATATCCCTCCTAGGAAACATAGGGAATTCATACAAAGTATGAAATGATATAGATTTGTACATTATGCCATAACTCTACTTGAGTTTGCATCTGTAGGGCTAGGAGAGTATGACACATGCATGCATCTACCACATCACCTATTAGTAGTTCTCTTAATAAACTGGTATTTTTATCCCAATCTAATCCAACACACTGATATATGGATGTAATTGTGATCGAGTTAGTTTATGGAAAATGCTATTTGGACCATATTTGGAAATCTTATTTAGGGATCTAATGGTATGGCTTCAATATAACCATTGGATTAATTGTGAGTTTTAATGTTAGATAGAAGCCACAACCAATCTAATGGTTGTACATCATTAGATCCCTAAATAAGGTCCGTATAACAATGCTCTTAGTTTATATACGCAAGTATATCCAAAAACAAATGAAATTGAGTAATTATTTAATAAATTTGAGGTATAATTTATTAAAATTTGGCCTTATTAATCCATTGGATCAGATTAATCAATATTTAGATAGGATTTCCTTAGTTATAATGGAATTTCAAATTACACCTGAATTGTTGTTTTGAAATTGAATTCTGATCGAGATAAGTCAAAATCCAATAAATTGATAGGGCTTAATTGTGGGCTTTTACTCTTAAAATCATATTCGTTCTCTAGAATCATCATATAAACTAGGTTTTCAGTCTAGTTTGGAAATATATTTTAGCCTAGTTGCTCATCATTGATACTTCCAACCAGAAAATGAGGGGAGTCAATCCCTGTCAAAGATAAGAATTGATCTCTAATATACCTCTTTCTTTGAAGACTGTATTATGATGATGAACAAAAGTGAATTTATGCACAATCAAATCAGTCGAGTATAATGTAAAGTAATTAATGAGACAGTTAATAATAAGAAAAAAAGATTGGGTGGTTGGGTCTGGGTGCCGAAAAACTCTATTAATGAGAGAGTACAAAATAGTTGGAGAGAGAGAGTATGCTCAATGTGAAGTGTGTGTCTTCTACCCATGTGTAGTGGGTTTATAATTTATAGGCACAAAACCATATTTGAGGTGGTCACATGAGGGTCAATGTACTAGTTTATAGGGGAGGATATCTACAATTAGGGATATGCACTATATTGGAGTCATGACTATCCCAATGATTGTTCTCTCACGTGCGTTGATTCTTCCTAGATTCTTAAGTTTTGAATTGGACTGAGATCATGAACTAAGCATGCTCAGTCTTTTGATAATTTGGGCTCAATCTATAAATTGAGCTTAAGCCTAATTTGAATCTGAGCTCGTCATATTCTACTCTTATTTTTTTGTTCATTAGAATTTTATTCTGTTTTTATTTTTAATTTTGATTTATTCAGATTCAGTATAATAATGATTTATGAGATCTATAATAATGATTATTCGTTATGCATAAGAAAAATCTAATAAAAAAGTTGCTTTTTCATTGATGTTGTATCCCCAACAACTAAGCTATGACATGTTGATCTCATTGTATCGTCTACAAGTAATAAAAAAATGCTTTTCATTGATGTTATATCCACAACAACTGAGCTATGACATGTTAATCTCTTTCTACAGTGTAATAGGAGTCAACTGCATATTCTTCCTCCCTTTGTTTGTTTTTTTGTTTTTTTTTTTTCAGACACTATTATAAGAGAAATGAATCACAAGATTCAAACTTATGATCTTACAGTCCAACAGTGAAAGAGGTGGCTAATATGCCAATTGCTAATCTCAAGTGCATATTCTTCAACAATGATGATGGTTTAGCCAGTGCATATTAGTGATTTAGGATAAATTTCAATAACACCCATTGTTAATAAAATTAAAGTATTTTTTGAAATATCATACTCGTTAATCTAAATTTTTTCCTAAATAATAACCCAGTCGTGATCATTGGTGATTTTGAGGCAGAGAGAATTTATGTTTTTGAGATTTTGTGCCGAAATTGGATTAATTTGGGTGATTTGATTAAAAAGGATGAAATAAAATTTTAAAAATTGGACAAAATAAAATTTTAAAACTCATTTAATTTAATTGTCACATATAAATCGTATCATGTATCATCAATTAAACTGCTTAAAACTACATTAACTTCTCAAAAAAAAAAAAAAACAGCATTTTAGACAATTTAGTGCGGTTAAGCAAAATTAACTTGGAGCTATATTATTAAATTATAATTTAAAAACATAATTACAAAATTTAATGATTATGACCTAATTTGCTAATAGACCCTCAAATTGAATATACCCAATTCCAATCCAATGACTATAACTCATTATGTCTCTAAACTATATTCCGCATTAGGGTTAACAATAATTCATTTACTTCTTAAAACTTCAATTCATTACATAAAGGAATCTCTCTTAACGTACAAATACAACTCAATCAAAAACTTCAGAGACCGACAGTGACAAAGACGACAATTTTAGTACTTCCACGAAGAATACACGTCTACACAAAGTTATAATTAACATATAACAAAACAATAAAACACCAAATCACACATATATACACTTCCTTTTGCAATGCATGTCAAGGATGGCCCAATTCTTCAGATACAAAAATCTTCATCAATTTTTCATACTCATCACCATCATCTTCTTCTCCATCATGGCCATGTTCTAGGTCAAGAGATCATTGACCCACCCAAGATCAGGATCAGCCAAACCACTTTCATTGAACTTATCATCAACAAAGCTCCTACTTGAACAATCTCCAGCCAAAAAATGTGCAAACCCAGAAGGACTTGGGGTTGAAGGAGAGAGAATAAACTGCTGCTGATCATCACCATTGAAATTAACATCGACCCAAGACAGTTTCCTATTCTTATCACTTGCATGTGAAGCTTCATTAACATTCATAGTCTCCAACGAGCTCATCAACTCAGTGAGCACATCTTTGTAACTCAAAGACCCATTATTGAATTGACTCAACCGATTCAACCCACAAGAATCAACACTCAACATGCGATCACTGTATCGCGATATCGGAGAATACCCACTCATAACCTGAGCTTTTATCGGCGAGAGCGGTGGCGACTGCGACAGCGGAGGCAAATTGAAATTCACAGTTTCCAGAGCAAAAGCAATTGAGGTTTTCTAGATTTGCAAGCGATATCTCTTTCAATTGTGGAACAAAATTGTGTCCCCTATCATTTGTTCTTCCTCCTTTGTAGTAAACAATCTCGTCTAAAATCTTGATCTTCAAAAGATCTTCTTCCGTGTCAATAATTTCTTCAATCATCTTGCACTTATGAACCTGTAGCAACATTAGATTCCCAAGCAATTTCGCGATAGTAGGTGATAATATGTATCTCAAGCTCTCACAGTTTGAAATATCAATGCTTGTCAAATTCTGAAAACCTTGAAGGTTTTTGGGAACCATCCTCCATAATGCATTAACTTAGGTAAATCACCTAATTCCAATAACATCAACTGACCAAGTGTGACTTCTGCATGATCTCTCCGAGCTGTTAACCCCTCGAAGTTAAAACACTGCTTCCAGTTCGCAACAACCATTGACATGAAGTTGTTGGAGATTTGGAAATAATTTTTGCTGACCAGGTGCAACAACATTGAAAACCTTTTCACAATACGACACATCCAAGCCTCTTGGTTTGTGGAAGGACCCACCTTGCATTTGGTAGTCTACTATGTGCACCACACTGATTCTGCCGAGATGCAGTATCTCCAAGTTAGGCAGAAAAACCTGCGATTATATGAAGTTTTCAAGTAAGTGATCATGATAAACCGTATGTATGTCCAATAAACAATTAACTACACGCAGCACAGAAAAAAAAAGAAGGAGCTTCATTCACTAAAACATCAACCTATATCAAACCCTCTACTTGTTGCGGACAAATTGCACTTTAGGGCATGCAGCATTTTTCAATTAAATTTTGACAAATGATATTTGAAAATAAGTCTTTTTAATTTACAATTTAAGTCTTAAAGATTGATTAAACATAGAAGGACCAAAAGTAAGTATACAATATCAATGCAAACAACAAAATTACAAAAAATGAGGTTAATTATATAAGAGATGTGATCAAAATATCAATATTAAAGTCATAACTTGTAATATCAATACCAAAGTTTGAAGGTTGTGGCGTGTGATACGTCACTGATTACTGGTGCTTTGTTTGCTTTAGTGCTTTTGGAGAGAACTTAGAATTGAGTAGACCAGAAATTCTTTTATACAATTTCTTTTTTTTTTGTTGACTCCTAGAGATTCTATAGTACATTCTATTTTTATCACAGTCCATTAACCAAGAGAGATTTGCTCTACTAAAGGACCCAATTTTGTTTATTTAAAGATATTAGGGTGGGCATAATTGAAAATATTAAAAAAATATATATACACAAATCATACATTGGTAAAAAAAACAAATTTCAGGGTGGGCCGGGCCCCTGGCCCATGTGTGCCTCCACCACTGTTAACAACATTTTAGTTATTAAATATTTAAATAAATTATTTTTTTCAAAAAACTTAGCCACCACCACATTTTACGATCAGCATAAAAAAAAAAAAAAAAAATTGGGTGACATACCTCAAGGTAATTGACTATTACC